TCTCGCAAAGAAGAAAGTATTTCGAGCGCACGAAATTCAATTTTGCATTTAAAATAAGTTTTTGGATGTGTGCAGACCTTCTCTTTTGCGCTTGCAGCGTTTCACTAGCTTGCTCACCTGATGCCCGCCCTCAGTGCTCTCTAAATACCAACAACTGGCATGCTCAACACAACCCAGCGTTACAATGTGCCATAATTCCAGCCAATCAGAGACTAGGCTACTAAATTAGCGAGTGTAAGTGTGTGTGATTACTAGTTTAAGTATACACAGGAAAGTGAACTGCCTGTCAGAAATCATAGCACGTCAGCTGTCTTAGCCGTGGCTTGTGTACTGCATCATCACTGTGTCTGTCACGTGACTCTGTTGCCTTTTCGGGCTTGAACTGATGGTAAAACTAACGACATTATTAACTGTCTTGATATTTACTTTGAAAGCTGAATCTTTATGCAACAAGAGCTTGTAACACTCCAAAGAGAAAGGAAAAATTGAAATCGCATCATATGACCCCTTTAAGCTAAGCCCCGTTTGTGAAACCGGTGTTCTGTCGATTTGTGCTACCCTGTCAGATTTTGCTACCTCCCATTAAAACAGTAGGTAGTACAATTCGACAACGATAAATGCTACCTGTCAAATTATGGTTTATTAATTTCTACACTTACCACAACCCTAAACCTACCCTTACAGTAATACAAATACAGTAATTATATGTTATATTCACAGTTGTGGCTAGAATGGATACAACTACCGGAAACCAACAATAAAAAAAAAATTCTACCTATTAGATTGTGTTTTATTAAAGTCTACACCTACCCCAACCCTAAACCTACCCTTACAGTAATGCAGATACATTAAATATTGTTGTTCAGCATGAGAAAAAGGACGCAATATTGATGTGCGCATGCGCAGTAAGCCCTGGTATGAAAATCTGATGGGTAGGATAAAATGTCAGGACACCTGGCCATGGTAAACCAGCTAAATGTTAAACTCAATACTTTTTGAACAATACGCAAAACAATACGCAAATACAACGTGTAGTTATTACTAGACACCATAAAATAACAGGAGGGGAAAACTCACCTTATGTCATGCATATTCATGCATGCTTATGCAAGCTTGCTGTCTTGTTTATATGTAAATGAAATCCTTTATGTTTTACAAGCGAACCATATGGTTGCAAGTAAGATTAAACAGACTTTGCCTTCCCCACCCCACCGGACAACCAGGTTCTGTGGGTTTTGCTTGTGTTTATTTGCCACATGAGCGATTTAGCCACCTGCACACACAGAGGGAGACAAAGGACAGACATCAGAAAACCTAACAGAAAAGTCTCAGAGTTTGATTGAAACAAAGTGTGACAAGGTGAATCCCACATTCCAATTTGTGCCACAAGCAAATTCTGGATACATGAGGACATTTCTTGGCACTCAAGCTCTTCAGCTATAAAAGGCCGGTCTAAAGAAAATACTGTGAAAGACTAGCTTAGCTTTAGCTTTGGTGATGTTGTCTTCAAAATGACAATTTAAATCTGTTTCTGTAGACTATATGAGAAAGGCTGTGGAACAGCAGTGACTCTATGCTGATTTATTTTGCATTCAAATATAAGGCTTTCTCTAATCACAACCTTGAAAGTGTCCTTTTGCCTCTATCCACAACTCCACTTTGACAGCTGCTGCACCTTGCCTTTTCATGGTTGAACAGAGAGCAGTCTTCTCCTCAGGGCAAATTTTCAAGATCACACTGTCCAGGGTCATCAGCTTGTCAGGTTTATAAAGGCCCGAGGTCTGGTGCACAAAGTTTCCTTGCTTCTTGACTTGTTCTGTATGCAACACAAATCACATACCTGCAAAAACCTTTCACATACACTCTTAAAAATAAAGGTGCTTCACTATGCTATAGAAGAACCTTTTTTTCTAAATGGTTCCATAAAGAACCTTTAACATCCGAAGAACCTTTCTGTTTCACAAAAGGTTCTTTGTGGCAAAAGAAGGTTCTTCAAATTATAAAAAGGTAAGAAAGAGATGGTTCTTTAAAGAACCTTTGACTGAATGGTTCTTTGTGGAACCAAAAATGGTTCTTCTATGGCATCGTTGTGAAGAACCTTTTAAAGCACCTTTATTTTTAAGAGTGTACAACAGATTAATGTCTGATTGTCTGTGTATTGTCTGTATTGTGCATGAATGTCTAATGAACTACTCATGCCATCCAGTAGCAACAAGTTTTTTTTGTTTTGTTTTTTGCATTCAGCATTTGTTAATATAAATATTAACAGTTTATAATAATAATTGGTGCACCCCATGGAGTTCCGATGTGGTCCCTCTAGGGGTTCTGGACCCCCTGTTGAAGCTCTTATTTGTAATGAGTCAGCCATCCTACATTTAGTACATGGAATCTTTTATACTAAGTGGTGACAAGGGATCAAACGAGAGTTAAACATCTCCATCTTGTTGAAAAAATAGTGTAGTACTCTATTTTAGGGTGAAAGTACTTGCCTGCCTTAGATCTGTACATGGTCTTGTGTTTCTGGATGGTAATTAAACAAGATATGTTCTATAAAGGCATTCACGGTCCACTTTAGTCGAAGTTAGAAGACATGCCACTATACATTGCAAAACTGTAACTAAATATTAGTATCCATCTCATTTTAAGTTTTGTACAGGTAGAGGAGATTTTCTCCTTCCCTGATAAAATTCCCAAATTTTTACCTTCAAATGTAACAGAATTTGTATTAAATAACCACATGCAATGCAGAGGTAATGCCTTTGAAAATGGCTGAAGCTATAGTATTTTCCCTCTGCTTTTTACTGTAGACCAGACCATGATTCAGCTATCAATAGCCATATCCATCACAGCTGATCATGTGACTGAACAAGCACTCTGATCCCTACTTGGTTCTGGAACATGAGAAGAGATTGGAGACAACACCCACATACCTCTCCATCAGACAGAGGATTGCTCCGGCAGACATTAATAATACTCTTTCACATGAATGATATTAGGCCTGTAACTGATTTACACAGCATCAGTATTTACTATCATTCTCTTAATGACCGTATGAAAATAAAGTCAATTTGAATGGGATGCATTTTTTTGGGCTTGAAAAACAAATATTTAACTTAAAAAAAAAAAAAAACGGTGAAGCTTGCAATACAAATTAAATTATTTGCTTAAGGCATGTTACACAATTAAAGTAATTATGTAAATTATGTACTTGCATGTGAATATTTGTGTCTATTTAATTTTCAATATTATTTTAACAGATATGACCCAGACATATTTGAATAATCTCCACCATTATAAATCATCCCTCAAAAATAAATAAATAAAAAATTGTAAAAAATCTTGTTTACAGTTGCATTTTTAATGTCAGCAATGTGTCAGACTTTCTGGTGTGGGCATGCATTTAGGAAATCAGCAAATTATCCCTAAACATTGCATAGACTCAAATCTCTCTTGCATTTACTACACAATACTGCCATCTGGGTGACAACTCTCCCTTGAGAATTACAAAACATCAACTGAACTCAACACAAGGGACAACAATGCATTTTATTTATGCTGTTTTACAAATCAAAAACACTTTGGTAGAATGAAAATGATACAAAACAGAAAAATAAGTCATATGGTGACACTATATTATGTCAGCACTTTTATCAAATGGCAAAAAAATTAAATATCCTTCATTTTATGTGCAGATTTAAAAGAAAAATGTCCACACTGACTGTAGCTTTGCCATTCACATCACTGTAACCTTTATCATGCAGCAGACCAGACATAAGACCAGAACAGGAACTGACCTTCCTAACCCAAGACAGGTCTACTGTCAAAAAATGACTAGTGGACTACATGCAAAACACACAAAGGTCTGGTGATCTAAACAGCTCAAGTATTCAGTTTTAACCTTCTTAAAGCGACTAAAAATGTGTATTACCAGTGTCTTGGAATTCATAAATGAAACACTGATTCAATGACACTTGTTTATGGTGCCGAAAAAAAAGGCCACATGGCATGCTGATCTCAGTACATCAGATGAGTCCCATCCCACAAGGCAAGATCAGATCAGAGACAATGTAATTACCATGTACATGCCCTCAAGACAAGACGCACACTCGTAATCTATCGCCAGCTGGGAGAAAATGCTATGGAAACTTAAAGTCTACCTAATTTATCTTAGTGCACCTTGAGAGATTTTTTTGCATATTATAGACATTATAGAAGAATCCATTTCTTAAAATGCATTTGTATATACTGGATGCTTAGAGCTTTGTTTCTGTCAAATGTTTTCTTTCAGTTTTCATCAAATAGAAACAGTGTACAATGTGAGATTAAATGACAAATACTGTTGGCTAATAAGATGAAAAAATCTAAATGTCTATTTATAGTACATTGTTGGTTTACAAGAAAAATGTTAATGGCTAAGCTGAGGTAAGAGAAATGCCCTCTGCATCTGCATTCTGTCTTAGACCGGAGAAGTCAAGTACTGTTTAAACTAAGCAAACCACAGCAGAAAAAAGCAGACCCCTTTAGAAATGCTTCTGACATTTGAAGCTGGTACAGCTAGTACATAAGAGGTATACTGAAATGCGGTTACCTTTATCTGCAGGATCTACTACCAACAGCAGTCAAACTTGTTTAACATTAAAACAGTAATGCAAAGAAAAACATGTAAAGTCTACCTGAGAACACATGCATACGGATCCTGCTATCCAAAAGCTTTAGAATTATTAGAGTAAATATGCAGGAAGAAAAAATAAACAAATACTACTACACTCTAAAAAATGCTGGGTTAAAAAGGGACAAACCCAGCTATTGGGTTGTTTTGACCCAGCGGTTGGGTTCAAAACAACCCAACCGCTGGGTCAAAACAACCCAATAGCTGGGTTTGTCCCTTTTTAACCCAGCATTTTTTAGAGTGTAGTATAAATGATTACATGAACTATTTTCCATTCATTTATAATGATTACATAAACTATTTTCCAATCATTTATACTTAAAATCCTTGCAAAGTCCTATATACACACAAAAAGTAAAATAAAAGGAATGTTAAAGTTTCCAGTGCAAATTCTAATATCGCTATTTCCAGTGTAAAACATGTTGTATAGTACTTGACCTGCAAAAGCTTAATGGATTATGAGAGCAAATGTCAGTGAAAGCATACAATGAAATTGCTGTCACACACACTGTCTGTAAATGAATCCCTGTCATAAGTTGTCTACTTTTATTATTTACAGGTTTAAAAAAAATATCTTAGAAAATTAAGATAAAGAGTCTTAAAATTTGTACATTTTACATGACTTTTTCATAATATACAATGTAAGGCATTAAAAGGTATTCATACCTAGATTTTTCTCTCGCTTTTTTGCATTAAAAGGCCATTAAGCACAAGTCCAGCTTTAAACATGAAATTGCAAGTACTCACCCATATAGATCACAATACATACTACAGGACAGAACACCTGGAGCCTTGCCTGTTAAGGAGTCAGATTACAATATTTGGCATTAAAGCAAAGCAGTCATCACTCTGCTTGCATTTGTACCCTGATGTCTGAAGGCAGCGTCTCAAACAGCGTGTCTTCTACGACAAGTCCGCTGTGCTTTAAGGCACGACAAGAGCCGAGTTCAGCTGGTAAGAACTCAAAGTGATTACCCTTTAACTCCAAGTGAGTCAGTACTCCCAGGAAAGAAATCTTTGGTGAGAGGACAGACAGCATGTTTCTGCCAAGCTTCAGAGTCTGCAGCTTCTTGCAGAAGAAGAGCTCATCAGGAATATTTTCGATTTTGTTACAACTAACAGAGAAGTACTGAAGGCTTTGGAGAACACCTATCTCCGGTGGGATAAAACGGATGTCGTTGTTGGAAAGATCAAGGTAGCGCAGTTTGTTGCACAGGAACAAGTGTGAAGGTAGGATCTCGATCTTGTTATGGCTGAAGTAGAGGCGCTCCAAGCTGCTGAGCTTTTTGATGTGTTCGGGTATAAAAGCGATGCTGTTGTGCCAAAGCTTCAGACAGGTCAGCTTACGGAGGTGCTGGAAGCTGACAATCTCTTCAATGGTGCGTAGATTGTTCTCTTTCAGATCCAATGTCTGCAGATTACTCAGGCTGAAAATGGCGTGGGGTATGCGTTCTAGGTCACAGTGCACCAACTCAAGTTCTGTTAGGTTCACCATTTTTTTCAGGTTGTTTAGCATGACCAGTTTGGTGCCATCATTGCAAATACAGAGGCGCTGTAGATGGCTGGCCACATCCACAATGGATTGAGGGATCTTGGTGAAGTTACTCTTGAGCATCAGTGTCTTCAGCGCTTTGAGCTCTCGTAGAGAGTCCAGGGTTACGTTCTTTGATGCATCAGAACTCAAAGAGCCAATCAGATGGAGTTCTTCCAAGTTCCGGAACACATACATCCACTGCGGAAGTTCACGGGCATCATCAAACTTCACTCGCAGCACCTTCAAGTTCTCCTTGAGGAAGGAGGTGGCTGCGCTGTGGATCTTGAGCGAGCACTGGTAAAGCGAAAGCTCCTGGAGATCCTCTAGTTGGGCAATGGCTGCTGGTATGGTAACATTATTAATAATCTCAAGCTTCAAAGACTGCAGCTCTGTCACCTCAAAGATGGTATCTGGGAGACCAGACAGCATGAAGAGTTGAAGTTCTAGCCTGTTATTGTTGTTGTTCTGCAGCTTCTGCCGAAGCTTGTCGGCTGTCCACTCGTGGTTAAGGTTGAGCTGTTTCAGCTTGTTTTCACTCACCTCTGAGAGAAACACTGCAAATCTCTTGGAATATAGGGGATCATACTGGTCAATCATGTGCAACATGAAAGCAAAGTCATTCTTTACATCTGGGATGTCATCAATTCCGGTCTCTTGCCTGACATATTCAAAAGAGTATTCCTTGAGAGAGATATAGAACAGCCAGTAGGATGTATAAAGGCATGTAAGTCCATAAATTCCAACAAAACACAAATAACAGTAGGAGAGCTTAGAGAACAAGTGGGCCATAGTATGATTGCAACAGAAGTACCGGTAACCCGTCATGTCCTGCATGTTCTCAGTACAAGTAACACTGAACCTAACCTTTGACACCAGAGCACTGTTGTACGCAATTATAAGGATAAACTTGAGCACTTTTACAACAGTCTGACGGACATACATCATATATAATATATCTCCCTCCTCCACATGCAGGCGGAATTTTTTGACCTTCTCAAACAAGGCCTTGGCTTGCTCTCCTTCCTTCTTGTCAAGAACACTTGCTGCTGGCTTGTCAACAACGATCTTTTCAGGAATGGATCTTAACGATTGAGTCTTCTCCAGGTTGCCCTCGCCAATTGGAGTATCAAGGTTTGACCTACTGGCACTGTTCTTCTTGTTGTCTTTCTCCTCAGGATTCTCCCCAGATACTTCCGACAGTGCCCTCGTAGTCCATGGAGAGTCAAAGCACTTGCCCAGGATGGATATGAAGTGCTCAATTTTAGAGCTGGAGCCAGGAAACTTGAACCAGAAATTGCTGCACACCATGAAAATGACAGTATGAATGAGAACCAGGTAAGGGAAGTACTTAGCATACCAATGCAGCGCCTTTTCATAGCACATTTGGTTTATGTAATTATACTGCTGAATATCCAAGTTCGTCTTCAGTCCTTTCAACTCACGGACAGGCACTGTCGATTCATGATTTGTGGAAGGAGGTGGGCACATCAGCTCTGTCTGGTTTGGCGAGAATGTCCTTTGAGGAAGGCATATGATTTTGTCTTGCATCACCTAAAAGGACAGAAGAGAGTAGCTATCAATATCAACACAATTATAACAAGACATACTTCCAGAAATTTGCATAAAAGTAGTTGGGGGGAACAGAAAACCAGAGTCTGTCTCTGTACAGGCATTCTGATTATATTAATATCCCCAAGTATGCAAGTCATTTTCTCTGGACATAAAATAATTAAAGATGAAAGCGAAAGAACCTCAAATGCACACATCAGAGAGCAAATAAATAAACCTCAAGAGTGTAAAAGACAGCAGATGAGGCCATTTTATGTACTGAATTCCAATTCCAATCCACACCACCCATAGATTGCTGGGAACAGTGTAACAGTATCTGACGAGGAGCATCTCTTAAGATAACTATTTCGGTGCTCTGACGTCAGTGTTGTGACTCAAACAGGAAATGAGAAATCATTACACTGGTCATTTGAATTCAAAAGAGAGAAGAATTACCTTTGGGTTAGCAAGAAAAGGTGTTCAATGGCTACTCAATTTTGACTTAAATATTTTTTAAAGTACACAGCAGGACTGAAAAGCAGTAAACAAAAGCATTCTGTATTAGATTCAAGATGTGTGCCCTCCCCCCTTTTCCTGCAAAACAGTTTTAGTTTGTCTGGTAATTACCATGTGGTTTCTGTGGGAAGGTAATGAGAAACAAGAAAAATCAGCTAAAAGGAGATGGAAAAGATTGTGAGAGCTCTACACAGCACTATAGTGTGGCACAAACACAACAGGCTGACTGCTGAGTAAAGCCTGCTAATAAAGCATCAGCAGCTCTGAACACGGCATCTCTGCAGTGAAATGGATGTGAGGCGCAGCAGCCCCAAGTGGCTAATAAAATATGCATTATGCACTACAGTGCCCTCCGTCAAACATGGTCATTTAGCAAAGAGGAGGCTATTTATTCCCCACTCAGAACCACAGGATTATGCAATGACGTTAGTAAAAGCATTAATTAGGTCAATTAATACTGCCTTCACTGGGATCATCACAAACATCCAATCGCAATTGTGCCATTATTTGATGCACACCTCCAGGGACAGTGGGGGATATTCCCACCCTAACAATGGGTTCCTGTTAATGTTTGTTGAGACTAAAAATAATTAGGATCAGGGCCGTCCTTAGCTGACGCGGGGCCCAGTGCCAGGTAGGTTCACGATCGCGTTCCGGGTGGGGGATTGGTTGGGCCCCTCGGTCCGTTTGCGATCGCGTTCCGGGGGGTGGGGGTGGGTCCCCCTCGGTCCGATCGCATTCCAGGGGGGTGGGGTTGTCCCCCTCGGTCCGTTCGCTGCAGGGCCCAGTGCAACCGCACCAGTTGCACCCCCCTAAGGATGGCCCTGATTAGGATCATCTAGGAATTGAAACTGAAGGCCAAGCATGCTGCTTGAAGCTCCACCCACTAGTTTATGAGGCTGAGAAGCTAGACTACAGGAGTCATTTTGTGTTTATAGAGGGGCCACCATGAGGGGAAGGAGTAATCTTTTCGTGTGGGGTGACTGGAATTTAGTTTTTTTTTTTTCCGTTAGCAAACTCCCACTTCTAAATGCAGTACGCACTGCTCAACAGTGGGCTGTTCATGCACAGAGGAAATCCATCTATGGTGTGAAGTCATTCATTATTCCATTGCTGTTGGTCAAGGAAGACTGTATGTCTTAGTACTGCTTAAGATGTTAGCTTCTCAGCTCTAAAAAATAATGAAATGTTCTTTTGGTATGTGTTTAAGGAGAAGAATTGTAATATTTACCTGCAAAGTGCATCCAAACACACCTATCATGAGCATGACCACAGAGAGGTAGTCTGTGAACACATCCCACCATGGCTTCAGAACCCGGAACGCTGGCTGCTGTTCCGTGAACTGCCGGAATTCGGTCACTGGAATCATACTCCTGTAAAGGCACAATGAAGAATTAGGAATTGGAAGAAACGCAATAAATGCTGACAAAAACAGCTGATATGCTAGCCTAGAGTTATTTCATAGTTCTTGATAAAAATGTGAGTACTATAACAAAAACTATTAGATTTACATATTTAACTATTTGGGAAAAAAATAAATTAAATAAATGAGTTAATTCACAATAATAATCATAATAATAAATGTAAATAATTATCTGTAGATTACAACACAGCGTTTTCAATTTAGTTTTTTTCAATTAATAAAACATTTCTTTAAAAAGGTCAAGTGAAAGAGCAAGTAATACAATGAAGACAAAAGAAACATTTCACAATCATCAACATTTTTATTTCATTCTTGCATTCAAATACAGTTATTCCTCCCAGAACTTTGCAGTGTAGTTATGAAAAATGATGGAGCATGAAAAATACAACTTTTATTCAAATTGTGAATCGCTTCAGTTCACCACTCTTGTAAAAAAAAAAAAAGCATACATAATCAAAGAAGCTTTCCAAACAATGAATCTCTGATTTACACAGTGTTTACACTTTGTTGGTTATATTGAAAGGATTCACAAGTGTGCAAAACTAGCACTGAACTGTACTGAATTCTGATACTGAGCAGATGCTTAAATACCTCTGATTGGCCACTGCGTTCATGAGCTCAACAGTCATGCCTGTGATTGGCTACAACGCATGACATTTCAAAAAACACACTGTAAACAAAACCTTTTGATGCTCTTCACAGGCCAAGCACACAACTTGCCTGCTGTACACATGGGAGCATTTGAAAGCCATGGTATTGTGACATTTTTAATATTTCAGTACCAACTTGGTATACCGGTACTTTTGACATTACTACGCTAGACTAAATATAAACTGATGAATGTTTAAAATAAATAAGCTACATGGAATGACAGTCTACCAGGTTTATGATATCCAGCATTACATGTACAAAATACGTTTTTGTAGCTCAACCGGAAGAGCATGATGGAAAGGACTTGGGTTTATTTCCCAGAGAATACATGATAAAATGTAGGCCTATATCCCACATTCTCTGGACTAAAAGCCACTGGCTAATCCATGAACATAGATGTATTTATTGTTCTAATAATTCTTTAATAGCCAAAGAATTATAACCTCAATAAGGAACATTTGTTTACAAAGGAACAACACATTTGAATTTGGATATTTAAATTTGCATTTCACTGTGGTGAAAAAAATCACACCTCCAACAATCCAACCATATGTATCATCTGGTTATTATTATTATTATTATTATTATTACTACATGGCTGTATGGAATAGTCGTTGATTATTGATTAAACTGCTACATTCATCAATAAAATATTTCTGAATAATGACCATTGTCCAGGGCAACACTGTATACCTGGCTGCTCATTCATTAGCGAAATATTCTTTCCCTTCACATTCTCTACAACTAAACTATTGAAATAAATTCAAATCCATGCATCTATTTATTTGGCAAACATCAAGGTAATATGCTAAATAAAATTGTGCAAAAGAAAAATCCTTCTGTAATTTAGTGTGGAACAATATGCAAAAATATCTTGAGTTGCAATTAGAAATGACCTATGAATCCTGAAAGTCACTGGATAAGAATTTGGATCACCTTTAGTATTCAAGACAAAACTGCCATGAAGACCAGAATATTATGCCCTTACATTCTAATGATTCCTAATGTAGGCAGTCTGCCAGGCTTCCTCTAATCTCTATTGAGCTGCACTTCTTGCATCGTATCATACACAAAGCATATTCCACCGATCTTATTAATTATTGAGATTACCGCTGCATATGCTTCACTTTGCAACAGTCAGCCACTCCAAAAAGAGGTTTATATTATGTACCTATAAAAGGCCTGCACAGATGGAGAGCATTGACACAACAAAGTAGAAAAACACAGAATGCTATGTGGAAGGGGAGTAGTACTAAACCACTACTAATGAGTAGACTTACTAAGGTACCTTTCACAAAATGCAGACAAGTACCCAGTTGTAGTCCTGCACCTGATGCAACACACCTGAAATCCATTTTATGTCAAACAGCCTAAATTGCTCTCTCTGATCAAAACATCAGATAAACGAAAACATCCCCTATGTACTTTACATGCAAGGTCAACCCAAAGAAATAACACTTCACAGCCTGTAAATACATTCATCTAAATTTAGTGCTGTCAAATGATTAATCGCATCCAAAAAAGTTTTTGTTTACATAATATGTGTGTGTATTGTGTATATTTATTATGTATATATAAATACACACACATATATTTAGAAAAATATTTACATGTATATATTTATATTCATATAATCATATATAAATATTTAATATATAAACATAACATATATTTCTTAAATATATACATACATGTGTGTGTATTTATGTATACATAATAAATATACAAAGTACACACACATATTATGTAAATAAAAACTTTTATTTTGGATGCGATTAATCGCGATTAATCGTTTGACAGCACTAGTCTAAATGTGAATACACTAAAATAAAATATAAATATCCAAACTTGTACATACACAATTACAGGAAAGTGTACAAGACTAGTAACTTAATCATCACAAACTGGTCAGCAAACGAATTAGGCAAACCCAACCTTAGCTGATCATAAATCCTCAAGTGGTGTACTTTCTGGAAATGTTAACCGTTCAAGGGTGCTTACAGCAGAGTAAACATAATCGGTCTTATTCAGGTTAAAATATACTCCAGTATCCACATACAGTTTGTACTTTTATAAACATTTCTGCAGAAAAGAGACAGCATCAAAGCTTGCATATTTAGATGCAATCTGTGTGTTCTGTGCATTGAATGAGAAGCCACAACCATTACAAAAAAAGGAACCCAGGGGTAAAAGAACTTCTCTGTATATGCAACGTGCTTCAACAGGCAGCCTTCTTCAGGCAGTGCAAAATATTTGGACATTTGTGAACAGCTGCAGCAGTTCAAGTATCTGGAACTCCTGATTCCTGGCTGAGTTTGTTACAAGATATTCCTGATGCGAGTTTAAAACTTGTAAAATGCACATAAATTACACTTCTAGGAGTAGGCCTATAACAAAATGATAAAAAATGAATGAATGTTAAAAGATACAATTTCATGACATTTATTATAGATAAACGCTGCACTATATCCAATGTTCAGACGCTACGAGACGGAAACGAATAAAATGTTGGCAGACTCAATGGAAAAATCCAACGAGTTCTGATAGACAAGAAATGCAGAAATGGATGGGGGTCTATGCATTGCTGCAGATCTGCTATTTAAACTAATAGCTTTAAGTATCCTACTAAACTCAGCTCAGTAGAGATCTGTACCATCTCCTGGAACAGCTCTTCCTGCCAGGAAATGGGGTGATTCTCAAATATAGTCGTGGAAAAAAAACGTTGCACGTCTGAATCACATCCAGTTAGCAGGATGAAGAAGAAGAGCTCACTTTCAGAAGGCTAACATTCGCACGGACGATATGTTTTGTAATGTTACGTGGAGGCGATTTCCTCTACTGCTAATGACGGAAATCGAAAAAAACAACAACATTAATTCCCACTCACGGGACAAAACAAAAACAATGCACGTTCACTCGTGCGATTTTTATTTCATTTTAAATCGGTACATTTGATTTGAATCTCGCTTACTTTAAGTTTTTAAGTATTTTAAATGGAGGCCTGTCTGTCTAATCACTATGGTTATACATTAGTAAATAATGTAAAATAAATATAAGCTAAAAAAAATCATAAAAACATTCAAGAACAATGCTCTCAAACTATATCAACACTTTCCTCGAGGTCCTCAATTTTCTTTCGTATGAAGCATTTGTTTTGGTAAATTCGCTCCACTAACACGTATTTAGAGCAATAACTGTAGGCTACCACGTTTTTCTCACTGAGGGGGTTTGAAAAGTTAAACGCTGTCCCGAGCGCGTTTCAGTGTTTCATCGACTGCGTAATGAAGATGAAATGATCCAACATAAACATCTGCGATGTTAACGTTTGGCCTCAAACACCGATAACGCGAATGAAACGGTCCCGGTTTTGGCTCACCTTTAGATGGACTGAACGCGCGCTCTCCGTCTCCAGCTGAAGATTCTAGCCTGGACTGTGGCATGTCCTTGCGGCTGCGGTTCTCTCAGTCAGTACTGTCCTCCAGCTGCTATAGGCTGAGCTACCTTGGGCGGGTCTTCAGTATGACAATAGCGTTCCCAGAACCGCCTTTCTCACTTTCCGTTTAGATTTTGCGCGTTATTATGTCGTGCTACATCTGTCCATGACCCATAACCACCTCATTGTTACAGCAACTCTCAGGGACATATCCTCCACATCCCCACCATTTTAACTAAGCAAATAAAGCCATTTCCTGTGCGTCAAGCTAAAGTTAATTATGGTTTTAACAGTTTTTAGAATCCTTGTTTAACCTAAAAAAAAGATGAGAGAATGAGCTGGAGATAAATGTATCAGCAAGGCAGTGGTTTATTGTAAACCACTGTAATTCACACAGGGTTGACTATATTATTAGGCTATTAAATAACCCATACAATTACATAAAGAGTGAACTACTAAACAACAATTCAAGAAATGTATAATAAAAAATGTTAAAACATGAGTAATGTAACTATGTGTGTATTTTTAGTACTTTGTGTTTTTAGTAGGCCTATTTAAAAAGATGTCAGGAATGGAAACTAACGCCAATGAGCCACAAAAGCTATTCATTACTGCCATCCTCCTCCACACCAGCCATAGCAGACATTAACTTGAGTATGTGATCCCACTGTCTCCACAGCCTCTGTACTAGATCATATGTTAACGTGCGTGTCTGACTGGCTGCACCATCTGCCTCAGGCTTGCTTGCATGCGCCCTCTTTGTTCTATGGAAACCCTCTTTGACATTGGGCGGCAGAGACTTTAAAAGGTCTTCCTCAACTAAAAGCCTATTCACTGTAAGGCTGTGGCATTTTATGAGCTCTGCTGAGAATCTACGCTGCTAGTTCCCTTTGGGAATGAGTTAGAACACTTAGATCTGTTGTGAAACTATCATGAAATAATCAATATAAAGCACAGAGTTCTAAATAGAAAAATATACAATACATGACTAAAATTTGTTTTTAAAGGTGTATGATAAAATTGTCATTGTTTTGTTGATTAGCTGCACTCTTGTAAATGCACAGACCAGACAACATTTCACAGAAGAGTGCCATGACAAGGACAGAATTCACGACCCACTAAATAGTTGTTTCAAAGTGATTTATTTCTTGCAGGTGGGAATGTCCCATAGCCAAGAATTGTAGTGTTGTTCTACTCTTAAAAACTCCAGGACATTGCAGTGATGGGTTTTCTTTAATAAAGTTTTGCAACACACATGGTCAAGTATATAGAGAAAAAAATTCTCTATTATATTTTATAATAAAAAAATTATATATTTTTTATTTTCATGGGGTGATGGGGACCAGAGTTTTGAGTTCTGAGACAAGATATTTTGAGAAATGTCTCAGTCTTTTTATTTATCCATACAATGGAAGTCAATGGTTCCAAAAATGTTATCAATATTCTTCAAAATGTCTTTCCAAAAACACAAGCAAGTCATACAGGTTTGGAACAATATGAGGGTGAGAAAATGGTGAAAGAATTGAGTGAACGATCCCTACACTACAACTTTCAGTGCATTCAACATACACATTTTATTAGTGTATGTGTTTTTCCTTGTTAATATGATTATGGCATTATTACATACCAGGCTGGCCCTTTCTGTCATTTTTAAGTCCCGCTATCATGTCACTGTTTAATGACTCCTAAAACTGGCCTTATTGATTAATAATAAACACTGAAAATGTGAGAGTGCCTTATAATGTTTACTACTGTAGCTCAGACATCAAAGCTTAATTCAAAAGATTAGCAAAAGTTCTGTTCATGTTTTCTATTCAAAAATTGTGTGAACAGGGATGTATTTGGTGTAGTTGCTACTGATAAGATGTTTCCATAAATGTAGAGGTCTCAAAGGTTCTGCAGACTAAGGATTCATTTTAGGATCTTAGAGACTTAAGCTCAGTGGCTTTTTTTGATTGATCCCCAGAAACACTGAAAGTCTCTTTGCCTCTTCAGGAACAATAGATTGTACTTGTCCAGTAGATGAAATATGAAAGCAAAGTCATTCTTGACATCAGCAGTACCACTCTAGCTACTCCCATCCCACATTAGGTCAAAGTATCCTGCCTATGAGTTTCTAATCATCCACAAGAAACTATAAATGCTGTACATCCTATCTCCTGTCCAGAACACCCTGCAGCTGGACTGAATTTCTTTTGTGTCCTCACTTTGAACAACTGGGTTTAGCCCCGACAATGCTCTTGTAGTCCATGGTGAGCCAAAGCACTTGTGTAAAATGGAAAAAAAAATGTCCAGAGGTGTATTAGAGCTTGGGTAACTAAGCCAAAAAATTGCCCACCTTTACAATGCCTATGGCAGCAACATCAGGAAGATGTATTCATAGGTAGATGGTCGGTCAATGCTTGTAAAGTAAATATGTTGTTTAAGGTCAGGCATCTTGTAGATTGTTATATAAAGTGTTCCTCAAACATACTGCAGACGCATGAACTTAGATGTAATGAAAAGAAGACATCTTACCAGGGCTAAAGAACATGCTAAACAGACTGACAAAGGTCTTCAGCTCCCCTGTTCTAGCAGCATGCTAAGCATTTCAAATAAACAGCATTGTGCTGCACTATTTACAGTATTTATCAGTTTTCATTTCAATCAACAAATTGCAAATGGTTGAAGTGTTTTGTAACGATTTCAGATTTTATAATACAAAGCATTTTTAAACATTTTTGTGCTAATAGGTAGATAGGGTTTACCCATTTACCTCAAAGGTCAAAATGTTCAAATGTGTTAAAGGACTATTACTATTCACACTATTATGCTTTTTTACTTTTTCAACTTTAGTTAGTCTGTAATGTTGCTGTTTGAGCATAAAAAAGATCTGCAAAGTTACAAAGCTCAAAGTCCACTTCAAAAGGAGATATTTTATTTAACAGAAAAAACTTTTCAAAAACTACAACGAACGACTCGTTTGGACTACAACGCATATTTTCCGGGATTTGTGATATCACAAATA